AATCTCAGTACTTTGGGATAAGAAGGAAAAGATGCCAAAAGATGTAAGGCCCTTCAACTAGAGTACTAAGTAGATATTACTGTCCGATCTCCCCTATTAGCCTAGGGACACTAGCGCGGGCTCTCAGCCCGGATAACACCAAGGCAGCCTTCGCTAGATGTGAGATAAGAAAAGAGGGGAAGGTACGGCGACGCGTATCTGTAGGGTAAAGATAACCACTCCTGTAGGTGCACTCTGCCTGCTCCATTTGAAAGACGTCTACACTACCGCGTAGTACCTGGGAAATTCATGAAGAGAAATTGCACCTTTTCGAACCTCAAAGAATGCTGCTCGTGCATATTTATCATACTGCGCGCATCAGAGACAACCAAGCATGATGGGGACTTGTGCCTTGCTCCGGCGCAGCCATCCGTTGTTCCAGGATTGAATCTATTGCGTATACATTAATTCGTTAAGCGCTTATGATCATGTAGGAGTACGGTGTGAACCAAGTTTGCACCGTGCGCTGACCGGGCCTGAACCAAGTTTGCACCGTGCGCTGACCGGGCCGACTGCCCTCTCGGGTTCAAAGCCATGTATGGCATCATGCATCCCGACTCTCGGAGTGTTCCCCCGCTACCGCCTCTGCGGGCGCGCATACCAACCCGTGGTGCACCCTCTGCTCGCGCGCCCGCCGTAGAAGAAATGCACTACAGTCAGAGGCCTCGAGGGGCGGTGTACGCATCTCCGCGGGTAAGCTCACCGCGTGCTGGGGGGCGCGAAGGAGTTGACGCGTCTTATCGCGGGTCAAGTTCTCAGCCGTCTAACAGCGATGAGAATATGAACCCTTTGCAAAGCTTTGATTCTGAGGATCCAAAAGTGGTAGTCACCTTGCGCGCCCGGATGCGAGATCTCGTGCGTAGCGGTGTGGCCCTACGTCACGATGTAGATGAGATGCAAAGGCGCGAGCATGAGTTGCGCACGCGCGCGCACGTGGCTTGGGCTGAGCAACGAGAACGTGTTGAGGCGACAAGACAGGAATGTGGGGCTGCGCTGACTGACCTTCGCCAGGAGCTGCGTAGCCGCTTCGAGATGGCAGAGCGAAAGCAGTTCGATATTTTACGCGAGGATAGGTACCGACTCAAGTGTCTTAATCCAAATTTAGACTGAGCTTAGTCGTGTAACTCTCAGAGCTTCCGCAGGTCAGAACAGGAGCGAATGCANGCCGAGGTCGGGGAAATTCGTGGCACTGTGGCTGCTCTGCGCGAGGAA